TATTAAAAAAACAAAAGAGAATTCACTATTTATATTTCTGGTAAACATAAATGTGAAAACCCAATTTCTTTTTGCATTTCCTTATCTAATATATATTTTAGATGCAAAATACAATAGTTATATTTAACAAATCTAACACCAAATGGAAATTCACATCTATTCTTTTTTTTTTAAATAAATATTTATTGGGTTTTCATCATTGTGTATTGTATATTGTGTATTGTGTATTGTATATTGTGTAATAGTACAAAATATGAATTTGGTTTATAACAATAAGAAACATAGACCATAAGAAGGAAACTCGTAAAATAGTTACTTTGATAAGCATAAAGCAAACTATACTACTTGCCTGACTGTGTGCGTTCTAAGCATATGTGATAACAGCTCATTGCTAATGAAATGTCTGACCTGTATCAATCAATTAGAGGTATAGTGGTATGTAAGAGAAAGAAAAGAAAAGAAAGAAAAGCCAAAAAAGAAGAGACAAAGGCACTAGAAGGTAAAGATGGAGAATAGAGGAAGATAAGAGAACTGACAAAACCTGAGGGGGTCAGTGTGTTTTCTTTTGAATACTTGGAAGTGAGGTTAGTGAACAGCCAAAGAAGAGGCTATTCCGTGTTGTATAGGAGACCTTAGATATCCTGGGTGTGTAGTGGCATAAGGGACCCAGTAATTATATATCTGAAAAAGGAGGAATCATGAAATATCATATTACTACCACTATAGTAGAGTAGTCATGTCATACATTTAAGATTTGTGGTTGGTGTAGATAGTAGGATCAGCTATGTTTACTCAGTAATTATTAACATGACAGGAGCTCTTGTTCTGATATAGAGAAAGTTCTGGAAATATATTGATGCCATTTGCAGGCAAAGGAGTCCATATAACGAGGACAGGTTAGTTGTAGATCCAATTTCTCCTTGTGGAGGAGGCTGTTGAGATCTTGTTTAACGTCAGATATGGTCGGTGGTGTAGCTGAGATCCATTTCTTCAGGATTGTTCTCCTTGCTGATAGAAAGCAGGTTTTTAACCATGGTTTATTTCTTCTGATGAGCGTAGAATGTGGGTTGATGAGGTCGAAGGTGATGTGTTCTAGATTGCCAAAAAGAAGATGGAGAGGATCTTTTTAGAGCTGCAATCTAGTAATGCATGTTTACTTGGTCCGAGAAACCGGGATATAGGAGGGCATAGCCATAGCCTATGCTTGAGAGAAGGCATATTGAAGTTGCAAAGCGGACAGCTTGGTACAACCAATGGAGATTTTGAAAATGTACATGGCATATAGGCACGATGCATTATCTTGAGTTGTTCACGCCAGAACTCGTTTGATATGATGGTGCAAGTGGAGTTGAAGCTCGTCAGTATTTGGTCTACTGTGACCGAGTTTTGAAAGTCCTTTATCCAAGATGCTCTTGACGAGAGTTCTAAGAGCTTAGAAAAGTGTAAGTTAAGTGGGGTGTATATGTCTGAGATCTTGACCTTTTGGCGTTGTATAAGTGTATTGATTAGCGAATTATGAAATCTGACAGATTTATCAGGCACAAGGTTTTTCGCGTTATTCAGGACTTGTAGAACGTATATAAAGTGGTGGAAAGGCAGGTTTAGTTTCATCATAATGTATTGGAATGGCATAAGCGATCCAGAAGAAACATCAAACAGCTGTACAACATCTACAAGGTCATGGGTAACCCAGACAGCATACGCTGCATACTGTTGAGAAGGAGGAAATGAAGGATTATTTTGAATTGGAAGATAGCGCAATACCCAATGGGATACACCTAGCTTGTGCCTGACCTCTCTCCAGGCTATGATGGTGTCTCCCAAATTCTGTTTTAAATGGGATGAAAGAGAATTGACTTTACAATGCAATATGGCTGTTGGCTGTATGGGTATACCATGTCTATCTCAATCTTGAAGTTGGAATATTTGGACGACCGGGACAGCCAGTCCAAGCAGACTCTCATTTTTATTCTTTAAGATAAAACATAGTAAACCCAATGTAGTTTTGCTTTTCTGTACTTTTTTGGTATGTTTTTTTATATTAACAATTTTTATTGATTTTCACATATATATATGTATACAAAAAACATCACAGGAGAAAAAAGGAGCACATTGATGGTGAGATCTGCATGGTTACAAACATAAGAATGTCATATAGTTACATTGGGGTGGCCGTCAGAACTATACATCTGCAGAAAGGCGGGAGGAGGAGAAATTGTCCCATGGGTGCCACACTGCCTCGAACACAGCAATCGTACAGGCTTGTACAGCAGTCAGGTACTCCATCTGTCGTACATCAGCAACAATTCTAAACAGCGTTGACATCGAAGGAAGTATAGAAGATAGCCAACACATCGAAATGCTTCTTCTGGCTGCAGTTAGAAAATGTGTGGAGAGTTTCCAGGCCATTCTGGGAAGACCTGGGAATGGCAGGCTCAGTAAAAAAAATACAGAGGCTCAAAAGGGAGAGAAGTCTGCAATAACAATTGTAAAAAGACAAAACCTCTTCCCAAAAAGGGACAATGGATCCACAAGTCCAAAAAATATGGAAGAGGGAGCCAATATCTTTCCCACAACGGAAGAAGCATTCTGATTAAAGGTATGGACATCGTCGGGAGTTTTATACCATAACATTAAAATGGTGTATGTGTTTTCTTTATAAACCACACAGACAGAAGATTTAGATTTGTTGTCCCACATTTTCTTCCATTGTGTAAGGTCAATGTGCACATTGTAGAAACTGGGACCACTTGCGCATGTAATGATGAGTGTCGTTAGCGAGGGGAGCAGCATCCATAAGAAGTTTATATATATTAGAAACTATACCCTTTTTGATGTGGACCTTGTATACAGAGACGCTCAAAGGGGGTAGGATTCCCAAGAGTCAACATGGGAGATATAGTGGAGAAAAAGTGACGTATCTGGAGATATATAAAAAAATGGTGAGAAGGGCAGATCTTTTTTCTGGAGATATGAGAATGGCGGCAGCTTCCAGGTAACAGGATGTATTAGGTGACGTAGTTGGAAGAGCCTGGCCGTGACCCAAGGGGACAATCGGGGTACCGCCAAACTGTCTGGAAGATTGGGGTTAAAAAGGATATTAATCAGTGGGAAGCAATCGGAGGCCAATGCAAACCTGGTTTTACATTTCCGCCATATACTCATGGAGAATTGCATGGGGCCAGGGAACAAGCGACGAATAGGGGTAAGGTCCCACCTCCGAAGAGGAGAGAGCAGGGATTGAGTCGGGGTCAATTGTAAGGACTCTATCTCAGTCCATAGATTGGGAGGGAATAGAGTGGACCATGAAGTAAGGAAGCGGAGGTGAGTGGCGTAATAATAGGTCACGATATCCGGTGCACCCAGGCCTCCTCTAGAACACAGGGAAAGTAGTACACTATGTGCAAATCTATGTCGCTTATTATGCCAATTGAAATGTAGAAGGGATTTCTGCAGGGAGTGTAGCTTGGACAGAGGGACAGGGAGGGTCGCAAATAAGTACAAAAGTTTGGGTAATACAGTCATCTTTATGACGTTGATACATCCCAAGAATGATAAGGGTAGAGTATCCCAAGATTTCAGGGAGCGGGAAATAGCTATAAATAGGGGAGGGAAGTTGGCGTCATATATTGAACTATAGGAGTAAGTAAGGTTAGTACCCAGATATTTTAGAGAGCGGGTGCACCATCGATACGGGAATGATTCTTGAAGAGACGAGAGTACAGCTGGTGGGATATGAAGTGGGAGTGTTTCAGTCTTGGAGGTGTTAACCTTGTAACCCGAGAGAGTCCCGAACTGTCGTAAAAGTTTATGCATGCTGGGAGGGAAATTTGGGGGTTCGAGAGTGTAAGGAGGATTATCATCCGCAAAAAGGGATAATTTGTATTCGCGGCCATGAGACGTTATACCTTGTATGTCAGGGTGGGACGGATTGCAATAGCCAGTGGTTCCAAACAAAGAATAAACAATAGAGGAGAGAGAGGGCATCCCTGTCGCGTACCATTCAACATCTGAAAGAGGGATGAGAGAAAAGAGGACATTCTGACCTGCAAGGAAGGATGAGAATAGAGAGCTTTCAAAGCTGCCACAAAAGCGCCACGGAAGCCAAACTTCTCCAAAACCATAAATATATAAGGCCAGCTGAGACGATCGAATGCTTTTTGGGCATCCAAGCTCAATAAAATGGTGGGGATGGAAGACCCGGTTAACCAAGTTAACCAGATCAATAGATTGCCTGTTGTTGTCCGCTGCATGTCTGGCAGGGACAAAGCCTACACAACAAGATGTTAAAGGATAATTAGGGGATTTACCTTCTTAAAATGTACCACAAAAGTATCCATGTTGGAAGATTTTTTGCGTTGTAGTGACAGCTAAAATTTTACATTTCCCACCACTTATCTGTCCCCATGATAATGACCACCAAGACAAATAGACAGGGTGATACCCAGCAGGGACACAGATAGAATTAAAAAAAAAATCTATCATCTAAAATCTATCTATCTATCTATCTATCTATCTATCTATCTATCTATCTATCTATCTATCTATCTATCTATCTATCTATACATCTCTTCTTCTTCCATCCACAACTATTTCCCTTCCTCCTTTCACAAAATTAGCATTAAAAAAAAAAAAAAAAAAAAAAGGTTTTCCAAGAGAAGTTTATTTTGTAATTACCGTATTTTTCGCCCCATAAGACGCACTTTTTCCCCCCAAAAAGAGGGGGAAAATGTCAGTGCATATTATGGAGCGAATATGGAGCAGCCGGTCCGGTATTTCTGCCACCGTCACCATGTCAGAACACCGGGCCGGCTGCTCAGCTATTTTCTGCAGGAGGACCTCACCTGTTCCTCGGTCCAGCGCTATGCAGTCTTCCCACGCCGGCATCTATCAGCCGGGTGCCCACTGCGCATGCGCGAGAAGCGCTGCACTTTGTGAATGGTCCAGCGCCTTCTGGGACACATGACAGGTCCCAGAAGACGCCGGGCCATTCACAAAGCGCAGCGCTTCTCACGCATGTGCAGTGGGCACCCAGCACAGCTAAAGGGAGGACAACTCCGCGGAAGTGGGTACCTGTCAAATTCAGGTACCCGCTGCTCCCCTCCTTCTCCAAAGATCCGCAGTCTCTGGTCATCCCCTGTACTGTCTGCAGTCTCTGGTCATCCCCTGTACTGTCTGCAGTCTCTGGTCATCTGTACTGTGTCCGCAGTCTCTGGTCATCTGTACTGTCTACAGTCTCTGGTCATCCCCTGTACTGTGCCCACAGTCTCTGGTCATCTCCTGTACTATGTCCGCAGTCTCTGGTCGTCCCCTGTACTATGTCCGCAGTCTCTGGTCGTCCCCTGTACTGTGTTCGCAGTCTCTGGTCATCTCCTGTACTCTGTCTGCAGTCTCTGGTCATCTCCTGTACTATGCCCGCCATCTCTGGTCATCTTCTGTAATATGTCCGCAGTCTCTGGTCATCTCCTGTACTGTGTTCGCAGTCTCTGGTCATCTCCTGTACTGTGTTCGCAGTCTCTGGTCATCTCCTGTGCTATATCCACAGTCTCTGGTCATCTCCTGTACTGTGTTCGCAGTCTCTGGTCATCTCCTGTACTGTGTCCGCAGTCTCTGGTTAACTCCTGTACTGTGTCCGCAGTCTCTGGTCATCTCCTGTACTATGTCTGCAGTCCATTGGTTCAGAATATTTTTTTTCCTGTTTTTCTCCTCTAAAACCTAGGTGCATCTTATGGAGGTAAATATACAATTGTTACTGAAAAAATTAATTGGATGAAAAATGTAGGCATCTGCTGGGGCAAGCAATAGAAATGAATGAACATTGCATTCATCATTTAGGCTACTACACTTGCAAACAAGGCAAACATCCCTCTGAACGATGCATTAAAGGGTACATTTGGGGAAATGTCTAGATAAGTATTTGATCCCCTGCGGATTTTGTTAGTTTACCCACTTACAAAGAAATATACACATAATATACACATAATGAGTTGTTGTTAGGAGCACCTTCTTAAATTGACAGGACTAATCTGTGTACCACATGAGCACATAGCTAGTCTGTGGGAGCCAGAATTATCATTGGTTGGTAGGGGATCAAATACTTATTTTACTCACTGAACTGCAACTCAATTTATAACATTTGTGTTTTTTCTGGATTTTTGGTTGATTTTCTGTCTCTATCATTTACAAAACTCTTATGATAAAAATTATCAAAGTATATTTGGTCCTTGAATGGTTATTAGGGAATAGTATGTTTAATTAACTTTCACTGTCCAATCACAGGCTGGGAGAGGGACATCACCTGCAGGTGTAAGCACACTCCTGCAGAAGAGAAAAATCAGGGCTTCTACTCTGCCAGATAGAGATGTGCTGTATGACAAAGCTGTGTAAATATTCAAACTAGATAGTCAAAAATACAAATCCTATGGCTAATAAAAATATTTTTTATACGCATTTCCTATGTGTATTTTCCTTGTGTTCAGCTGTAAACTACAAGAAGTCTAGTGTCTCTGTACAGTACTGCGTGTACCATATTTGCAGATGACTTTACGCTAATGTATAGGAGGGACGCTAGAAAAAGCAAAAATAAAAGACTGTATATAATGTACTTTGATGTTGTCCCTGCTTACTCTTTTACCCATGAGGGTTATATGGTAAACAACACACAACTCTGTAGTGGTGAGCATATAGGAATTTAACTAAAATTTCTGAAATCAGTCATAGGATTTATTATATAGAGAGAAAACAGGTGGCACACACACCTAGTGCATTATCCAAGGTTTATTGTAGGAGTGAAAGAATAATAAAAACATGCTCACAGACGAAGCATGTATCTAAAAAGCATAGAAAAATGACAATGGCCACAACGGCAGGCAAGGTGTTCTCACTGTCAGTGCGGTCAAATGGCTGATGCGTTTCAGGGACGAATCCCTTTCCTCAGAGCTGATGACCAACCTCTGATGTTGATGTATGATGAATGGAAAGTAAGAGCCTTGCTGTTGTTCATTTGATATTTATATATTGAGAATTGAACATTTTTCAGATTAAAGTAAAAAAAATAAAATAACGAGCCATTGGGAGGGGCCGGAGGCTGCATGTAGCAGGAGCTCCAGGCGCCCGCCAATGGATGGATCAAGTGAACGCTGCCTGGGTCCCACGCTACATGAATTTAACGCAGAAGCCTCATACTGTAAAGCCTTTGCCCTGTGAAGCTGGTGGGCATTCACGGCTCCTTGCGTTGTCCCCGCAGGGATCGTGGGCCCGAGACATGGGTGGTGGCGGCTGCAGACCTGGGCAGACCTGGGCTGAAGGAGTGATGGTTATGATTAAGCACGAGATCACATGAAGCGCGTTAACAGGTCTTGTATTCGTGTCCTGGTGTTTTTTGTGTGTCCTATGGATCAATAAATACACACTGTGTTCATCTGTCCTCTGGTGTGCGGCTGACTCTTCTTCCTATTGCATTGTGTGTGGTGGCGAGTCAGAGCCTGCACCTGTTGCAGATTGATCTGGATTGTTTGCCTGAGCGGTATACCTTTTGTTCTTTGAGCACAGGAGAGTGCACTGAGATTTACCAGGAGCCGGGGACGAGGGAGGTCGGGGAAGGGAGAGGAGGAGAATTCCTAAGTCTCTCCTGGAGCCTGGAGGGTTTTTTTTCTCCCTCTCTCTCCGCCACTCCCCATGGTCCTCCTTCGGCTGCACCATGGCTCCTTCGCCCTCGGTCCTTCCCTCTGCAGTTGAGAAAATGGGGGGGAGATGGAATGGTAGAGGGAATTTTGATTTGGCAGGTCGCCTGGAAGCCAAACATGCTGTTAAACTCTGAATTGACCAATGTTACGAGCTAGGGATCACAGTGGGTATGCGTGTTTTGAGTCTCACCCCAAAATAGGAATCATTAGTGGGAATAATCCATGACAGATTCCAGGGCAATATGTAGGCCATGAAGGTTTTAGGGGTAAGATAAGTAGGGGGAAGGGAGGGTGGGAAGTGGGGTGGTGGGTTGGCGAACAAAGGAGGGGGGGGGAGGAAAATGGGGGGATGTTGTAGGTGGGGGAGCGAGAAGGTCCATGTCTTAAGTTGTCTATGCCTAAGTTCCTTTGAAGGGAAATCTGGTAGGGAAGTGAAATAACATCAGAAATGAGCCTGATTAGGTTTATGACTTTTATCGTGAAAGGACTAAACTCTCCGACAAAAAGACAATAATACTTAGGGAAATTCACCAATACTCCATAGATGTAGTGTTTCTACAAGAGACACACATAACCCATGTGTTAAGGTATAAGCAAAGTATTATCCAATGTGGTACTATGCTGATTCTCCAATAAAAAGGTCCAAAAATTTTAGTTTCACCCTGGAGGGGAGACTGGAGGATCCAGAGGGTTGGTTTCTAGTCTTGCGGGGAAAATTACAAGAATTTGAATGTACACTAGTAAATATCTACTGTTCAAACAAAAAACCCCAGTAACATTTTTTGGAGGGTGTGTTTAAGAAAACTTTCTGAATTTAAAAAGGGTAGTCTGGTTGTGGCAGGAGATTTTAACATATGTCTGGATCCTCAGTTGGATACGTCATCTGGTATGCAGAGAGAGGGTGGAAGGAAATTAAAATGATTGAAGAAGATATTATATAAATGTCAATTGACTGACACTTGGAGAGTGAAACGTCCAAGAGAAAGAGACTACACCTTCTTCTCTTCAGTACATGGATCATACTTACTCACGACTGGATTATATAATGATCGAGCATTGGAGTTGTTGGTTATTTCCAACATAGAGGTTACATCTATTTCTGATCATACCCCTATCACAATAAGACTACGGGTAGGAGGGGAACGGGATAAAACAACTATGTGGAGATTAAATGAGATGCTGATACAAGATCCTGAAATAGAGAAAAGGCTACAGCCGGAAACAGAGCAATTTTTTGAGCTCAACGAGACTGAGGAGGTTTTGGAGGCCACAATATGGGAGGCACACAAAGTATTAATCAGGGGAATACTGATTTCGATAGGGGCAGAAAAAAAGATGGTGATGGAGGAGCTTCATACGTTAGAACAGTCACATAAAAAGAAGAGAAGTATAGATATACATCAGAAGATAATTATTAAAAGATCTAATGGAACAGGAATCAAGAAAGATACTCAATGGGGTATCAAAAGATATCAGTGGGGGAATAAACCAGGAAAACACTTAATGAAGAGACTAAAGGAAAAAAAAATCTAAGAATTGCATAGAAAAAATTAAAAAAGGAGAAATGGTGTACTCCACCACTGATATTGCTAGTAAACATACAAAACATCAAAAATATTATAGCAGGCCGTATGATGTGAGCTCCAGAAATAAAAAATAAATAGAGGATGAAAAGAAGAGAAAAAGGCAGAAATACTTAAATGAGGTGGAGATGCCAAGAATATCAGAACAAAAAACTAGAGAGGCCCTAGAGAGAACTATCACCCCGGAGGACTGATTAGAGAAGATGCTGACAAGTCATACAGCCCATTTATGACAACAATTGCTGTGGCTGAAGGCCTCTTTCACATTATGGCTTCTTGCGCACACCTTAAAACACCACATTTTTAGGCATGCAGGCATTTTTTTTACTGGTCTAAATGCAGCCTATTGTTTTAATGGGCATGTACACACCGACATGTAAACGTGTGTTGCATGTAGATCAGTAAAAAAAATGCAAAAATCTGGGTTGCTGGATAGTATTTTACGCTTGTATGCGCATATGTATGCAAATATGACCACATCCCAAGAAATATTTGATTGCATGGTACAAATTGCGTTAAACAATTTCCTGCTGGCATCTTGTTGAGCCTATGTTCATGCTGCACCCAAAAGAGCCGACGCCTCCTCTTCAGGGCAATTGTCATCACAACAATATTGATATTCAGGTACCCCATTCTAAAAAAAAAGTCACAAAAGAGAGCCACAGCAAACAAATATACAGTACGGGTTTTCCTAGACTACCCTTAATCAGCATCCAAGAAGGATGTGATGTCCCTGGAAATAAGCACGTGTCACACCACAAGATAACGCAAATCAATGCAGGGCAACAAAAACATGCTTAAAGGGCAAGTAAATGTATTGCAAATGCATCTAACATATCAATGTGTTACAATAATGCGCTTTAACACGCAAAAGCCATAATGTTTGCTGTGGTGTGTGAACCAACCCTTAATATGATTTTCTTCAAAACATTCACTAGTGGTGATCAATCTCTGTCATTTAATACACATACACCTGGAACCAGGCCTGGGCCAAAAAACAGGCCTGGGCATTTTAGACTGAGCAGACTCAAGCCCAGCGGCCCTTTTCTTGGAGGCTGGTGGAGGAAATCCAGGGCCTGGTCTTAAGTGTGACCTTTGAAACCCTAGTAGTTCCGCCACTGGTGTTAGTAGTTTTTTCATTATCATTATTGTTTTTATTTATTTTTTTACAATTTTCTGTTTAATTATTTTTTCATTTTTTTAGGAGCCCCGTTAGGGGGTTTAGTGACGTATCAGGAGTCTAAACAGACCCTTGACATCTCACCATTGAGACAGAGAATTGAGAACAAGGAAACAACCCTCAATCTTCATCTCTGCAGCCTCAGCAGCCCTTTTATGGGGCTTTGGTGAAATATCAGGGATCTAAACAGACTTCTGATGTTTCACTTCTGAGAAACAGAAAG